AAACAAACTCAAAAACAATAAATAAGTTTATAATTATTGATAAGTTTTGTGTGATTAGAGTTTTGAAGGAATAAATTTATAATATTTTATTCTCTTGAAACGTCTTTTTTTTATAATACAATAATAAGAAAATATTAACAAATAATATTGAAACATAAAATAATTAATAATTAAATTAAACTATGTAGTTTCTAGATGAGTCGATTTCTAAATGAGACCGATTAAAAATGAACCTGTGTAAAAAAAATATTTTTTTCATATCCAACACAATCCGAATCTATGATGTACTGAGTTAGTTAGTACGAGAGTTTTAATCTATTTTCACCTCGTTAATTTTTAGTTTAGAAAAATAGAGATTTCAATGCAAATATCATCTTAAAGACAGAAATATATTACCAAGAAAATTCTTCAAAGTTTTATGTGTTTAAGTAGGGAATGTGTAAGTGTGACGTAAATCCATGGGAATATTTTAACATATCGTTGCACGTTCAATTTCATGAATCTTTTGACTTGATTTTCTTTATAATATAAAGTTGAACACTTCTGTTCTGTGTATAATTAATTATTTAATCTGGTTGCTATATCCGATCTACCTTTGGCTTGTGTTGAGATGACGTTTTACTAAGGTAACAATTAGAGATGTGAAATTAGGTTTATAAAATAATAGTGGAAATTCTGTTTCTATAGAGTGAGCATTGCGTCACACTTAGCTTAATGATCATACCACAACATTTTAATCAATATATTGCTTCCTTTTGTATAGAGTGTGCATTTCGTCACCCTTATGTGGCTTGAAATTTATTTTAATAACTTGGGAATTTTGCAGATTCAGTATATTTTCATAATAGATTCGGAAAATTATTATTTATATGTTTTTATTTCTTCGTTATTAGTTCATACGTTCGTTTTGCTAAAAATATTGAATTTCTAAGAAATTAGACGGTGAACAATAATTCATACGTTACTTTTACTAAAAGGAGTATTTGAAAATATTGAAAGTATTTATTCTGGACTAGAGACTAAAAAATAATATTTTAGAAATGATAGTAATGTAAAAATAATAAAATTCAATCATTTTAATATTAAAATATTTTAATATAAATATTTTTTTCTTTAATTTAATTATCTTTTAAATAAATAAAAAGCATCTATAAAATAAATAAAAATGATCGATAATTAAATTTTGTAAAAATTATTTATATTTATTTTTATAATTATAATTTTATTATAAGAAAAATGAATACATGTAGCCACATGTGTTTTCATAAGTAATAACAATAAATATTAAAATCCCCTTTTCAGGGTTTATTTTCTCCTTCTGTGTTTCTTCTTTTGTTCATCTATTCAGTCTTTCCCTCATTATCTATAATTAAAATTATAGATATTGTTCATTTATTAATCTCCCCCTTAGTTTTTTCTTCCCACCCTTGTCTTATATTTTTTTTATTTTCTGATACATTCTAGTGTGTTGAAGGGTTGAAGATTAACACGAAAACATCATCGGACATGAAAAAGAAAAGCGCGATCGAAGATGGATTTTACAAATGAAGATTGGAAGGTTCGGCATTTTACGAAAAACAGAGTTATGTTGTTTTACCAAATTTAATTTAATTATCTATTTGTATGTTACCCAAATTTAACTATCTATTTATTTTCATTCATCAATTTAATGATTATTATTATACAATTTAATACCCAAAAACATATAAAAATGTTTTAATATATATTACAATATAACAATATAATTATTTAGTTTTTTTAAACATTAAAAATTATTATTTTGATATTACATCTATTCATTGTATAAAAGTATTATATATATATATATATATATATATATATATTATATATATATATATATATAACTTATTTATTCAAATGTAATAATAAGTATATTATTTTATTGTAAAAAATACAAAAGAAATGAGGCCACTGAGTATGAATGGGTCTCGATAACAAAAACTTATATTGTTGTATCATAGTCTTACAAATATTTCAAAATAATTTTTCCTGTATCAACATCTTAATTATTTATTTATCCAAACATTACTACAAACAAATACCTAACTCTACAATCATATATTTATATTTATAGATGTTAAAATTTTAAGTTACGAACCAATTCAACTCATGAGTTTATAAAACATATTAAATTAGTAAAAGTTTCAAGTTTTTTTAAATGTGAGTTGAAAAAACTTAATTCATTTAACTCAAGATTAAACACGTTTGGACTGGATTAAAAATAAATTGAGTCAAAATTTACCATCAATAACATTTTATTAATTTATTATTATTTTTATTATATTTAATACTTGTAATTATATAGGTTCAGATTTTTTTCAATACTATTGTCAGAACAATTAAAAACGCACCCAAAAACCCTCTAAATGGACGCCAGGTGTCAAGCGGAGGTGATCCGGAAATCAGATAGTGGAATGCAGGTGTCAACAGATGAGCAGACGTTTGTTTTAAGCAAAACTGAGTTTTTGGAAAGTTTACGTCACACTCTCTGCGTGCATCTTCTTCTCCAAAACTCTGATATTTCTCATTTCTCCTCCTTCTCACTGAAAGCTCTCCCTTCTCTCTACGAAATCTTACCTTTTCCCTTCTCCGATCATCGTTCAGGCACCGTAGAAGCACTTCCGGCGTCAAGAGCTTTAGATTGGACCGAACGGTCTCGAGTTCTGAACTGGTAAGTTCTTCTTGTCCTTAGTCGTTCGTTTTCTGGTACATGCAAACCAAGTTCTGGTTGCATGATGTCTTCTTGTCTGAGCCATTGTTGGTTTTCTGTTGTTTGGTTTAGTTTGAAGAATTTTTTAACGTGAGGGTAGAAGAAATTGTAGTCAGGCGAGCCTTAATTATGCCTTTAGGACGTTCGTTCACGCTCAGAGGTAAGGAAAACTTATTTAATTTGATTTAGTATGTGTACTGTAATGCATGAACGTTCGTGATGGATGATTGGAATTGACATGTGATTGTGCTATTTTCTGATATATGAAATATATGAAATTTCTATGATATGGATTGTATGAAGTATGAAAAATTGATTATGATATGAATTGTATAAAGTTATGAAACTATGTGTTAAGATATGAGTTGAATATGAATGAATTATGGATATGAAATTTCCCTATGATGGTGTACGTTTGTCACTGAACGGTCCTTGACCATTCGGTAATACTAGTAACCTTGGTTAAAATTGGATTCTTTCATTTGGAAAGAATCCTAGTTGAGAACGAGCGTCTTTGTGTGGTAATACTATGCTTGAGCGTTCGGCCAAGCGTAGTTGTATCTGAGTATTCTGTGATAAACTTAAATTTATAAATATATGTATTTGTATATTTTAGTTATTCTTAAACACTATTCCAATAGTATCTTATTATATTTATTAAGCTTTCTATTTATAAGATTAGTAGTGCTCGGTCTCACACCAAGTGCTCGTAATGAGTAGTGCTCGGTCTTATACCAAGCGCTCGTACTCGTTTCTTGTATGATCTATCTTGATGAAAATAGTGTTCGTCCAACTTCAATAGAATTTTCTCTCTACCGTGTTCGGTCATTGACTGGCATTCGGCTTCTAAATGTGAATCCTTCTAAGTATTTTCCTCTGAAGGTCTTAAAGTGTATACATCCATTTGGTTCCGGCTTAGAACCTTAGTATTTGGCATGATTCTTTCGGTGTTCAGTTAGAACACTCAAGAGTCAGTTCATTTAATTGGCTCACTTTGTAAGTAACGTTCGTTCTAGTCATTCTTGCGATATATAGTTGTACTCGGTTTCTTTCGTAACCCGACAGTAACCCTCTTGGTCTTATTCTATTTTGGAACTGGAGACCTCTCTGTCTCGTTCCAAGTGTTCGTCCTCTTTCTGAGTGAGGATTTAATGTTCTTTATCTGGTGTCTTTATAAATCTTTGAACAAAGAGGAAATTTAAATGATTGATAATGAAAGATGAAATTGAGATGATGAATAATGAAAGATGAAACTAAGATGATTGATAATGAAAGATGAGGAGAATATGGTATGAATGAAATGTGTTGGACTATGAACGAGTGTTCCGGGGAGGAACGACTCATGAGTGAATATTGGACGTGTCCGGAATAACTAAGACTGGAGCGCTCGTCAATTTCTGCTTCAGTGCTTGGAAACTAGATTCACACCGATCGGTCCATGCGAACGGGTGATCTTTCCTGGTCAACTGAGTCAACGACGCTACTATCTTAGAGAACCCTTCAATGAACCGCCTATAGTAGCCCACTAGTCCAACAAAACTTCTGACCTTAGTGACCGATCGGGGACTTTCCCATTCCAGTACGGCCTTTACTTTAGCCGGATCGACCAAGATACCTCCAAACGATATCACATGCCCCAGAAACTGCACTTCTTCCATCCAAAATTCACACTTGGAGAGTTTCGCATACAATTGCTTTTCCCTCAGTATACCGAGCACTACTCTCAAGTGTTCTTCATGCTCCGCTCGGTTCTTGGAGTAAATAAGAACATCATCAATGAAGACCACTACAAACTTGTCCAAGTAAGGTCTGAAGATGCGATTCATGTAATCCATGAATATCGCTGGGGTATTAGTAACACCGAACAATATTACTACATACTCGTAATGACCATAACGGGACCTGAAAGCAGTCTTCTGAACATCTCCCTCCTTAACCAAAATCTGGTGATATCTTAATCTTAAGTCAATCTTTGAAAATACAATAGCCCTATGTAACTGATCCAACAAATCATCAATCCTTGGCAGGGAATACTTATTCTTGATCGTCAGCTTGTTTAACTGTCGGTAGTCAACACAAAGTCGAGAGCTGTCATCCTTCTTCTTAACGAGCAACACAGAAGCTCCCCAAGGTGACGCACTTGGTCGAATGAATTTCTTATCCATTAACTCTTCAATCTTCTTCTTAAGCTTTGTCAATTCTGCTGGAGCCATTTGGTATGGCGCTATGGAGACGGGCCCTACTCCCGATACCAAATCAATAATGAACTCTACCTCGCGAGGGGAGGTAGTCTAGGCACTTCTTCTGGAAAGACGTCCAGAAATTCATTCACAACCGAATGTTCTCCACTTCGCTCTTGACTAACCGCTCGGTCATGACTTAACTCCTCGGACACTACGTCCGTATGCGTCATTATCAGAAAACAGCTAGCGCCTTCCATGATATCTTCCCTTAGTTGACCGAGCGTTATCGAATATTCTTCTTTTTCGTCAGGGAATACTAACTTCTTCTCACCACAATCTATAAGAATGTGATAGGCAGCCAACCAATCCATTCCTAAAATCACCTCTAATTCTTTTAGAGGTAAACAAATAAGGTTTACCTTGTATCTACGCCCTTCCACCTCAATAGGACATCCAATGCACATAGTAGACGTCCTAACCTCACCAGTTGCTGGGGTTGACACTACCAAGTCAAACTGCATCTCACTCTCGGTCAATCCCAGTTTCTCAACACATGCCTTCGAGATGAAGGAATGTGTTGCCCCCGAATCAAATAACACACAGCAAGATATACCATACAGCAAGAAAGTATCGATAATGAGGTTAGCTGAACTTGCTGCTTCAGCACCAGCTATTGCATAAACTCGACCGACCGCTTGTGCTCGGCCACCACCTCTCGGTTGTTTTCTTCCAGCATTCGGTGGCCTCATCACCGCTCGCCTTCCCATGTTACATTCGCTCTCCAGATGACCATTCCTTCTACACTGAGCGCAAAACTTTCCTCCTACTAGCTGGGGACATGACGACTTGTAGTGAGGCCCTCCACAATGAAAACAAGTCACAGCCCCTTGCTGTCCAGACTGACCGACAACAACCAATGATTGAGAAGGGGACCCACTAGAGCTAGCGGGTAGTGCAGGCCGAGTATAAGGGGTCCTTCTCTGACTCGAAGCGTTCCTGGAAATAATCGGTCCTCTGGCCGTCTGCTGGTTCTTCTTATACTGTTCGACCTCCTGAGCGTTCTTCTCCAACACTTTCGTCCTCTCCACCATGGTAGGGAATGACTTAATGCATAGGCTGGAGATCAGCAACTTCAAATCACTCCTCAGCTCATTCTCAAACTTACAGCACTACCACCCTTCACTCGTAGCCATGGTATTAAATCTGACTAGATGCTTGAACTTATTGGTATACTCAGATACCGACATACTCCCTTGCTTTAGCTGAAGAAATTCCACCTCCTTAGCAAACTGAACGTTATCAGGGAAGTACTCCTCATAGAAAACACACAGCTTAGGGAAAGATGAACTTATAAACTCGAAATCGAAAACTGATCGGTTCAAACGAAAGCCCTCGACGCCGGAAATGCTCAGGTGTGGTCTGTTTGATGATCGGAAGAAGAAAAGAGTAAGATTTCTTAAAGAAAAGATGAAGAAATCTAAAGAGAATAAGGAGAAAATGAAAGTTCAAAACTTTAGGGAAGGGTGCATGTAGAAGTGGCGTGAACTTTTGAAAACTGAGAGTTTTACTCCTACCGTCAAAACCGAACGTCCAATCTGCATCACACACCTGTCTTCCACTATGTGATTTTCAGACCTTCCTTCCTTAACACTTGTAATCCACTATGCAGGAATCTTTTAGTGGGTTTTAATAGTTCTAACATGACACTCTACATATATCCATTTGAGTATTGTTACATATTAAATATTTTAATAGTCAATAATTTATATATAAATTTGTGTTTGATACATCTTACTATTTAATGAACAAATTATTATTTTTTATTATACTATCATGACCTTTACCTCCTTACCGTACATATATAATTATTTATATTATAATTAAAATTAAAATTATTATTATTATTATTTATTATTATTATAATTAGTTTTTGTATTATTAGTATTAGTAACATAAGTAATATTATTATTATTATTGATATCATTTATTATTAGTATTATAATTAATATTGTTATTGGTATTGATATTAATGGTAAATTTTTAAATAATAAGTTGAATGGGAAAAAGAATTTCTATACATATATAGATAAAAAAAATTAGAAATTATACATGAACTTTTATAAAATTAAAAAAGAATTTAAAAATTATACATGAACCTTTATACATATATAGATAAAAAGATTAGGGAACTCAAAATCTTCTTTAACCTCAACAATGATGAGTCTTGGTATTATTATTATTAGTATTAGCATTAATATTAGTATTAATATTAATATTGGTATTAATATTTTTGTTATTATTAGTATTAATATGATTACTATTTTCATAAGTATAACAGCCCAATTTTTCATAACATTCAATTATTATACCATTAGTTAGATTTTTATAATATAAAACAGTTAACTTAGAAAATATATATAAGATGTTACAACAAATAATAAAAAATAACGTATAATAGCAAAATATGTATTAAAACTTGAATTAATGTGAGATATTATACTAAACCAAAAGTGTAGTAGGTATTTACAATAATGAATGAAACATGAAGTTAAACATTACTTTAAACCTCAGCTCTACCTTTTCCTAACACCTACTTACAAGATATATTTGATATATTGGTGATCGTTGCAAAAGAGAATAAATAAAACAGATAAATAAACATAGAGAAAAAAGGATAAGCTAACTTACCAAAAGGTTTTTCATATAATATAAATACATCACTCAACATACATATACGTTATATCATTCCATCCTAAAACATACAACCATGCATTTTGGACATGACCGTCCAAGTAAGATTTGATGTCCAACTATGACGGGTTGTGTGTGCACTTGTAGTGGTGGAACAGTTGGCCCACCCACACAAGGTTAGTCTGTTAAATAATGCCTTAGACTAAGGTAAAGCCCCTAGACTAGGACCTCTTGCTACTTTCACTACATGTCTCACCCTTCTCTGTTTGAGAATGAATGATCATTATAGTGTCAGGATAATTCCAAGACTAAGCTTCCTACATCAATACATACGCTACTAGGCACCACCATAAAATCTATCAACAAAAGTCGTGCAATTACGTACATTTATCATGCACATAATCAATAACATACTTATTTTCATCATATAACATACATAATCATATACATAATTTTGTTTCATATTCATATTATAAATGAATTCATTCTTCACAATAAATATTAAACATTAAGACAACTTAAACTCAACAAGGATCAAAAGAAAACAAAACAAAAATCCAAGACACCAAACTGAGTGCTCAACGCCAATATTGCTTGCCCAGCGAGCTAAACCTACGCCCAACGACTTATTAAGAAATTAAGCCCAGCGTCCTCCGCCACCACTCAACGCACAGAGAACAGATTCCTCTCTTTTTTGGCAACGCTGAGTGCCACAAAGGGCCACTCAATGCTATATATCAGATGGCAACCACTTCGAAACTTGATTTGGTTGCCCCCAATACCTACCAAAATGGCATCCTAAGCACTATAATGTATTCAAAAACAGTTTCATAACTGAAATTTGATGCTAATTTGGTTATTTGATTTGGAGACAAGGTTTAATTGATCATCCTACAACTTAACACTCATGTATCGGATTTCTCATGCTTTAAACCAAATTTCTAGTGCACTATATGGCCAACTTAGTCCTAAATTTCCTCAAGGCAAACATCATACAAAGAATTTACTTATAAGACCATTCCTCCAAAATTTCACATATCAAAACCTCCATTTAGACTAAAACCAACAATTTTTCTAACCTATTGTCAAACTAAAACCACTAATTGATAATCCAAAATAACAACTTATCATTCACAAATCATCAAAAATAAAGTACCATTCAACAAGCATCTCATCATATTAACAACCAATTTCAAATCCATAAATCATTCAAAACAAACCAATATAGAAGATCAATAATTCATCATACCAACCATCAATTTCACAACTTTTCAAGCAAGAACGCATACTCATTAACCTCTAAATAAATAAAAAAGATATTATTTAACTTATTTTACTTGTTAGAAGATCAAAACCACCCTAAAGAACCCTAAACAGTTCCCACAGATAAAAAGAACAATAATTACACCTACAAACAATGGAATCATGATTAGAGTATACCGTTAATCCCTAATCAATAGAGAGTCTTATAGAAAACTCAAACGTAAAATGCAAAACAAAGAAGACTATCATGCAAGTAAAAACGAAATTGACCAAAGAAAGGAGTTGAAAGCCAACTTACTCTATTGAAGAAACCAATCGATTAAACTTAAAGATCTCATCGCTGTAATCACTCAAATAGTTTATAATCCTCATACAGATGAACATAGGAGAAGAACTCATAAAGAGAAATTAGAAAACTCTAAAAGAATAGTTTATAGAGAAATAATATATTTTAAAGTAAAACTCGTTTATAACAAAACTATTTATATTAAAACTTTTAATATTAAAATAATCAAGTATTGTTGTTTTTAAACAATTACTATTTTTAAAACATCATTTTCTAGATTTTACAATAAGCATTATTATTATTATTATTATTATTATTATTATTATTATTATTATTATTAATTATCATTATAATACTTTTAATATGTTTTGGTTATGTTTGAATTGTATTTTTTATGCTTTCTGTATATAGTTTATTTTTTGTATTTTTAACTTTTGTATTTTTAGATATTCAATCTTTATAATTTTTTTATTATCTAATATTTTCATTTTAAAAATTATTTATCTTTTTTAAAAATTTTAAATATCTTTTAATATAATATAAATACATTCTTTAAAAAAAATACACGTAATAAACACCGCACGGTCTCAGACTAGTTTTAGTTATAAAAAATAGGTTTAATAGGTTCGGAGGTCCCTATATTTACGGGTTCGTTTCAATTGGATCCTCCAATTTTGGAAGTGATCAATTGAGTCCCTAATTTAACAAAATTGAGTCAATAATATCATTTCCGTTAAATGTAATGGACGACGTTAAATTTTTAAACAGGTGACATGCTCAGCATCTTTTTATTTCCAGTGAAGTTTTTCACTCCCGATTACTCTTTGTTTTTTATTCTTATTCGTTGCTTCTTCTTCTTCTTCAACAGCCGCACCAGGACGGTCACCTCTCGCCTTCAAAATTCGCCAAATTGTTTGATCCTAAAGCTTCCTGGGACAAGGTTTGTTCTTTCAGTACATCTTCATAGATCCATTCCTAGACGAGAGGGAGAAGGCGTGGCGGTTGAGGAGGTCGATGTAGAGGGCGTAGGCGGCGGGGTGGAGGTGGTGGTGGGGGAGGACGCGAGTAGAGAAGAGGGAGAGGGCGAGCAAGGGAGGGAGGATTCTGACGGCCATGGCTTTCTCGAGAAGCTTCCAGGCGAGGGGGACGTGGTTGTTGAAGCAGATGTAGGAGACGAGACAGAAGGGAGGGAGACGCCGGCGGAGTTGAGGGCGGCGATGACCTGAATTGACTACAGAAGAGGGTCGGTCTTCTTCTCCTGCGCCCACTTGGTGAGTTCCATGACTCCCTCCCACACCATCGCTTCCATTCACCGATCGATCTCTCCACTTCGCAATTCCTTCGATTCTCAATTCAGACTTCACTCACCATCTTCATCGTCTTCTTCTTCTTCTTCAAATTTTGAAAAGTCTGCTTCCACTCACTCTGATGTTTTTTGTTGAAATGAAAAAAATGTAGCAGTTCTGATTTATTATTTTTATTTGTATGAGATAACGTTGAGACATTTAAAAACGAAGCATTTAAAAACGAAGCAAACTTGGACGGGACTTTTGTTCAGCATTCAAAGTTCTCACATAAAGTGAGTCTCAGCATTTCAAACCATCGAATGGAATCATTCACAATCGTCAACATCTTCGTCTCTTTCCACTCNCGAGCAAGGGAGGGAGGATTCTGACGGCCATGGCTTTCTCGAGAAGCTTCCAGGCGAGGGGGACGTGGTTGTTGAAGCAGATGTAGGAGACGAGACAGAAGGGAGGGAGACGCCGGCGGAGTTGAGGGCGGCGATGACCTGAATTGACTACAGAAGAGGGTCGGTCTTCTTCTCCTGCGCCCACTTGGTGAGTTCCATGA